CAGGAGGTTTTGTGCTGGCTGTGTGGGTTTGTTTAGATAAAGTTTTTTTTGTTTGCTTTTTTTTACATTATCACCACCACTTATTTAGACCTATATATATAGAGATATAGTTATTTATGTTTATATTTATCTATATTCTATGTGGAATCTTGTATATATATACACATACATGTCTATATCTAGATAGATAGATAGATAGATAGATAGATAGATAGATAGATAGATAGATAGATAGATAGATAGATAGATAGATAGACATGTATATATGTATATGCCGTTGTTTTATTTATGGAGCTAGTAACAAAAATAATTTCCCTCTGGGATTATTAAAGTATTTCTGATTCTGATTTTTCCGTTTTCCAATCTTTACATTTAACGAGAACCACTGAACTTTTTCTTTTAAAATGATCTATCATTGTATTTACAGAGAGAAAAACGCTTAATTTTATTCCCAAACAGGATTTTGAAGAAAAAAAACACATAACCATCACTGTGATAGTGTAACGTACTTTACAATAGAGTACCTACAAATGAATGAATAAATGAATGAATGAATGAATGAATGAATGAGCTTTATTGTCACTATACATTTCCAGTACAATGAAATTTGGAAGATCGCATGCAGCCATACCACAAATTCTACCCCAACCCACATTTACGCACGGCTCCTGTGACTGTAATGGATGGAAACGCGTCTCCCTAAAAGAGGGAAATGGTTACTCTCCTCTCACCATGTTCTTGAGGATGGAGATGTCCCTGCTGGCCTCGGGACTCGCCTCGTTGGCGGCCGCCTCCTCGCCGCTGTCCTCGGCCTCGGCCCGGCGGACGTACGGGGACCTCCGGATGCCGGACAGCAGCCCGGAGGCGCGGCCCACCGAGTAGTAGCTGGGTCCGGGGGACTGCTTGTACCAGGCGTCCACCGAGCAGCACGAGACCAGCAGGGACACGCTCACGCACGCCACCAAAAACCGCACCGACCGCTCCATGTCTGGGGTCGACTTTGCGCCTTTTTACGCACAGGAGGAGGAAAAAAAAGGTGGTTTCTCTGGAGCGTTCTTTGGGATTTTGGAGGGATTTTTTTGGGGCTCTGAAAAGTTTCTTCTGCTTTTATAAGCGGGCAGGACTACGTTATCGTGACCCGGGGACATTCGTCAAATCAGAGCTGAGGTGGGTGGATGAAGGAAGGGGAGTAATAATCCAGATTGATCCGTTTTTGATGGTCTGGTGGAGCCGGGGGGGGGCTTGCGCGTGCGTGTTATGACGGGTGGAGGATGCTCACTCACGCCTGGAGAGGTCAGAGTAAGAACATCATTGGACCATAAAAAACTTGAGGTCACTCCCCCAATGAGTCAATTTCTTTTTCAACTAATTAGAAAAAGATCATTTTGGGGTCGGAATCCCAGTAAGCAACAGACATCTTAATAGAGCGACCGGATCATTACCCGGAATAATTTATGACACTTTAAGATGCAGCAGTCCGGAAAACCACACAAAGGTCATCAAAAACCTCCTCGTTCACCGTAAAGTCACCAAAAAGTCTTCGTCAAATTAGGATCATTAGAGCGAGAGGCTGAAGAAGGTGAAGCTCCATTAACAGGAACCAATGACTGATCCAAATAATTTAAAGTGGAGCTTTGAGGAAAAGCATCCTCATCAATAAAAGCCTCTGAAAGATGGATTTGCTGACCTCACCGGCCATCTCTGCTTATCAGGCCGAATAATTAAGTCCAATAAAACGGTGCGCAGTTCCCTTTTCTTTCTAAGAAACGTTTCTTATTGCGTCCACCTTAAGAAACAGAGGAG